GAATAGAAGGTTTGAAATTAATTTGGGGAAATGATTTAATTGGATAAAAATGTGGAGGATGAGAGTTTTAAGGTTAATGTCGATAAGAATAAAGGAATTTTTTAAAAAAATGTTTAAGGTAGTATTTGACTCCTGTGAAATTGAATATAATAAACTCAGATTACTCTAAAGCTTGTTGGAAATGTGATGAAGAAATTGGCACATATTATCATATGTGGTGGGATTGTAAATTGGTTAAGAAGTTTTGGAAACTGATTTTTAAGGAAATATGTGATATATTTGGTAAAGATATTGAATTTAACTCTAAAATTGCTTTGTTGTCAATTTTTGATAAGATAGATCTTGATTGTTATTCGAAGGAATTGATTACTAACTTTATAACAAGTGCTAGAATATTAATAGCTAGGTTTTGGAAAGACAAAAATGATATCAAGTTAGAAGATTGGTGTGGTGAAATATGGGACATTGCATTAAATGATAAAATGACTATTGAACTCAAGATCAAAAGAGGGGAAATAAGTTCCGATATTTTATGCTATTTGAGGTAGATTTGTTGGATTCATATTAGTGAAAGGAAAGGGTCTAAACAACAATCTATACAATTTTGGAAATGAAGTTTGTAATAAAAATATTGTTCAATGGGGTCCCATGGGTATGGGGTGCACAGTAGAATTTAGTGCATATTAAGCAGTATTATTTGTATTTTTGTATTTGTTTTCTGTTTTAAAAATAATACAAATATAATAAATACAATTTCTAAGCAGATTTAAATATTCAGTTGAATGTTTGAAGCAAATTCCTGCTAGTCACAGGGACCTCTCTCCTTGTCTGATTTTAAACAGGGACTGGGTTGCTCAAGGCTGCTTTTAACTGAATGTAGGCCTATCTCATACAACTAAGCTTTCCTCTGTAAATGATCTTGAAAATACCTCATTCATATGGGTTTCATTAACTGCTTCAATGAAAGGTTTTGCCAAAGTATCAAAAAACTTTGTATAATAGTCTAAATTAACCCAGAAACTTTTTTCCACTTTAGATTTTCATTGCTTTAGTTATTTTGATGATAGTCAGAGACCCTGCATTCTGTTTATCTTCTATGCTATTTTAATCAAATATTTGAAAAAGTTGTTTGTCTTGTGCCTGATCTTGTTTTGACAGTCCTGTATGAATTGCTGAACTATTCCCTCTTTGGAGTGGGTTTCATACAGTGCTTCCACCAGCACTGGTTGGATTCCCTGCCATACAGGCAAGGCTGTGGTGCTGTCCAATAGATCTGGGACAAAGTTCCTAGTATAGTCAGGGAGCGATCTATTCAAAAAGTCAAGCAAAAGTTAACAGAATGAGGTGTAAGCGCAACAACATCAGAATACTGATTACCCTGTTTATAGCTATGTATGCTAGCTCACCTCTTCTTAGAGTTTCGGTCAGGTTCCAACCTAGAGCTTATGACTTCTTGATATTTTCTCCTGGGTAGGTCTCAGATGGGAGCTTTCATGCAGCCACACTTGCACTGATGCTTGTTCACCTGGAATTTATAACCTCTCTGCTCCTGAAATCCTCTGGTCATTGAGCTGTGTCATGATGACTAACCAATCCTCTAAATTCAGGCAGTAGTCCTGGGGCACCTGTTGGAGTCTCCTGATCTACTTTAGTCCCTGAACATGCCGGGATGGTGGCAAGACTGTCCTACTCTGAAGATACCTCATTCCTTTCTGGCTCCAGGCAAGGCATGACACTACAGACATGAATTGCCTCTCAACCTATTGCAGTAGATTATTTTAACTGTGGGCTTCAGTCCTCTTAAATCTTACTTTCAGTTAAACTAACCACAAAAATAATCCACCCATCACAAACATATATACTCCAAATATGAGAACCGGAAAACTACATTTTTTTGTATTTAACTCTGGAACCAGGTTGTGGGTTATCCATTCAGACATCAGATGATTAATACAATATCTTTCCCCACAATTATTGTTGTCAGGTCAGGGATTCTGATGCCTGAACATCTCCCTAAGAACCCTACAGAATTTCAGAAATTTTTAGGGAAAAATCAGAAGCCTGTGATCATCACAGTTGCCATTTATCCCAACTGATGGTTAATTCCAGAATGAAGACAATCATTTCCAATCATATCGAGATTCATCTGAGTATCATTTTCTTTGTTGCAATGATTCCAGGCAATGTCAGACTGTCTAATACTACTGTATAAGCTTTATTTATCTGTATTGTGTCCATGTTCCGTAAGCACAAAAACACTTCAACATTTGAAAACAGACAAAAGTCTTAAAGCTATGGAAAAACTGCAGGCACAAATGCTTAAAAGCATATTCTTGCAACTTATGAAAAGCTACAGGTGCATTTTCCATCTATATTTCTTACAACTATGAGAATATGCAAATAAAAATGTACTCAAAAGCAAAACTGAAGTTGTAGACAGAACTTAAATCATGTTTAAATCCAAAAATAAAGAACCTTATAGCCTTAAAATAATAGTCATCATGTTCCATCAAGTCAATTGACTTATGGTGATCCTTTTCATGCTTTTCCAGGTAGAGAATACCCAGTGGTTTACCGTTGCCTTCTTCTGGGGGCACTAGGGGCAAGCTGGCTCCAATATACTAATTTTTAGCCCTGCTGGGTGGGACTTTGCCCACCCTCTCATGACTTCATCCCATGTGCATCCACAATTCTGTCCCCTATGTGTGCAGGGTTTCCGTGCAACCAGAACCAAAGGGCCTGAGAATGATTGCTGCATAGAGGAGGAGGAAAGCTACACAGAGAGAGATAAAGTCACATGTAGCTGTGCACCTTGGTTGGCTCTCTTTTCAGAGGCACAGTGGGAGATCAAATTCCCATCCTCTGCTCAACAGCCAGATACTAAAACCATTGAACTATCCAGCCAGATTATAGCCTAACAGGCACAATGAAAAAAATTAGAGAATACATCTCTAAAATACCAAAGTTCTTAAAGATAAAATTATTAAAGGAAATGTCATTCTTAGCCTCTAAGCATATTGAAAACACCCAACCAACCAAGCCAGCCTTGTGTCGGTTTACATCTTTGGAGGAAAATCCATGGTGACTGTGTTTCCGGCTTCTGGAAATGTTGCTGAATTACTACTGCATGACTGTTGTTGAAAATATTTTTACTAGGAAATGCTACTTTCCCTGCAGGTTTTGTAACTCAAACTGTTTTCATCTCAGAATCTGGCAAGCTGTCACCATGACAATAACATCACTGTTTGATTAAAATTTTGCAAAGCCTAGAGGAACAAAGGCCTGTAGTTTAAACCATCTGATGCACCAAGGTCCTAGAAGACCAGAATATTGTAACACCAGGGTATTAAAACTACAGAGAGTGCACATTGTATGCTCCACCTCCATATTTACAAATTGCAACATACACCTGTTCATCTGTCAGAAACATTATTGTACAATAATATTTGCTTGGCTAATTGTTTTGCAATTATAGTACACTGTTGTTAAAGCCTCAGTTCTAAAAGCACTTTTATGTTCAGAGCTACTTTTTCCTACACTCACTTTAGTTATTTTGGCATTCTATTTGCACAAAATTTCACATCTTGACACTGTTGTACAAAGTGTCAGCAGTGGCATTATAACTATGACAAGGAAGCTGTTCCAGTGTCAGCCAGTAAGCGCTGCAGTCAGTGCCATCAGACTCAAAGGGTGATCTCTTGTCCATACAGTATTCCATTTTAACTGTGAGAGACTGGTTATTGGAAAATCCTTCATTACCACTGAAATGCCTATTGCCTCTCTGTAGAGAGATGTTGGGTTTTAAATCAGAATGGCTTTGCTTCTCCTCAGAGAAGCAAGAGGCAGTTCCTCTTCTCCACAAATAAACTAGGCTTGGGAACATAATCTGATTTGCCTTTCTTTCCATTTGTGTCCTTCCTTCACATTTTTGTCTCAGCCAGTACTAGTGGCTACTATTAATTTTGCTCTGATGAACATTATTCAGTCTACTATTTTAAGCACATTTTTTTGGAAACAATTTTCAAGTTTATTGTAAGGGGATTTACAGGAACTCTTTTTAAAAAAAGAATAAATGAGAAATCTGCGTGCAAGGCAATTTGGTAGTTTCTTTCCATATAAAAAAATCAAAACAAAAAAGAAAAAAGAAAAGAAAAGAAATTTCAACATTGGCTTAGAATGGTTGCTATTTTGTTATTACTGTGCTACTGCACAGAAACAAAACTGCCCATTATTATTTTGCTTTATAATACTGCTGGGAAATTGTTTAAGAAAATTCAGAGTATTTGTAATACTTAACAACTAATGCAATATTATCGTAGCAATGCTTAGAAATCATCATGTTTTAAAATTTCCATTGCTAATGCAATGTCCTTGAATAATATATTCCTTGTAGACCAAACTTCTTGAATTTTTCATTTTGGTGGAAAAATTTAACTACTCCCAACTATGCATGTGATTTGGCATGCTGCTGGCATACATAAAACCTTGTTCCCCTTGGATATATGAGCACTGTGGCATTCAATCTATGGAGCTTTATGAAATGTACATAGGTGAAACTCTGAAAGCAGGTGAAATGCAGTATATAGCTGATTAGTTTAATGACTTTTTAAAGCTGACAGAGAAGAGTTGGTAGGACTGCGAATTAAGTTTTATGACATGCGATTTGTTACTAATATGAGTAACAGATTCTACAAATAGAAAAATTTTAAGTGCAGTGTCAATATGAAAAAGCATAGGATAACGTATTTTTGTTTCACCTATATATAACTCTAAATATAACTAAAGTGCCCCAGTTTTGAAAAAAATATGCTGAGAGTTCTGATTTCAGATGTGAGATAGATGGAGGAACCAGTTCTACTAACATGCATACTTTTATCTCCAGAAGATATTTACTGTATTTCTTTTTACTGCATGACCTCTCCCTTAGCTGTTAAACAAGCACATGTGTAGGTGAATACTGAAATACAAATGACTAGCAGGCCTCCTTTTTCATCAAACAGGTGCAGTGCCATACCTACACTGGATATTGCTGGTGTGTCACTCCAGATGGCAAACCCATCAGTGGTTCTTCTGTACAGAACAAAACTCCTGTATGTTCAGGTACTGAGGAGTGAAAATTGTTTGCATGTTTCAATGCTGGTAAAGAGGGAATAAACTCTTTGATCTGTAATTAGAAATTGAGGCTCTGCTCATACAGCTCAAAATCAGGCCAGTTATCAGAGAATTTGTCAGATGGACATGATTGTTCCATTTAGTGGCTATCAATCCTTTGTTGTTTTGTTTAATTAATATGCTGCAAATGAAAAAGCAGAAGAGTGTAACACAGTGGATGAAATCCTATTTCATAGTTATGCAAATTACTTAACTTTTACATAACTCCAAATGCAACAGATAATGTCTGTGGAGATTGCTTAGCTGATGATACTTCACTTACAAAATATCAACTGTAGGTCCTGATGGCAATTTTTAGAGTATATATTTTAATTGTATTTTAATTGTTTTATCTTTTTTTTACTGTATTTTAATTGCTGTAAGCCGCCCAGAGACCTTTGGGTAGTCTGGGCGGCATATAAGTTAAATAAATAAAAATAAATAAAAGTTTCATTTGCTTATTTGTGCAAAAGGATTTCAGTCAAGTTGAACTTCTGCTTGCTTGTTTATTTGCTGTCTAGTGTAGTGGTCTAGAATCATAGCAGTGTTAACTTGATACATAGGTCAGTATGGGTTAAAACATGAAAGTGAAAATGTTTTTAAAACAGTCTTGTCATTCTATCCTAGTGGTATTTTTCCTTATAGAAAATGTGAAATAAAATGAAATATCTAATTAGTCACTTGTCACATGTTGGTTAGGATATTATTTTCTATTATATTTTTGAGGTAAGTGCTTGGGAATTAAGGAAATTGAACGAATGTATATTATCTAACATTTAACAATTTCTCTCTGTGGCACAAGCTAAATAGGAATATTACCTTCCAGATGAGTGCATGCCATTCCCCCCACTTCTTCTGTCTGTCCAAGGTTTATTGTATAACAGAATTCCACGTAGGAGTTGGGCAACCTGGACATCCTCTACACGGCAATCTGTGCACCTCACTGCATCTATATCAAATCCTTGTGCCTGGCCATTTTATCAAATAACCCAATTGCATTTAGTGGTGTACTTTGTAACTAGTTCCACAAGACACATTGGTAGCTTCCTAGGTGTACCCCATTTTCTTCTAACATCTCTTTATAATTAGTAAATTAATTTACTTCTAATTGAATCTATTAAAATGACTGGCTGAATGGGGAGCAATGTGTGGAACCAGTTGCCTGGGTGCATTTTAAGGTATAGTTTTCTGGGTTTCTAATAGATTGGTCTTTTGTTTCTGTCCTTTTGTTTCTGTCCATGGAGTTTTCTTGGCAAAGGTACTGGAGTGGCTTGCCCGGTCCTGCTCCAGGTAGATCATGTTTAGTCAGAACTCTCCGCTATGACCTGTCCGTCTTGGGTGTACCTGCACGGCATAGCCCATAGATTCTCTGAATTACTCAAGCCCTTTCACCACAACAAGGCAGCAATCCGTGAAGGGGTCATCGAAGCTACCAACATTAATTTGACCCAACTCTGGGAGGCAGTGGAAGACAGGAGGGCCTGGTCCATGGGGTCACAAAGAATCAGACATGACTTAATGACTAAACAACAACAACAGATTGGTCTGACTCTTAGATGACAACTTTGAATCCTTTGCTTATACAGATTACTGGACAACACATCTATTTGTCTCTTTCTCTTTAAGGTTCAGTAACTGACAGACCATCAGGACAGGGTAATTCTGGGAGAAAAGGTGAGTGGAGTTCTGTGCTCTTATAAAGTAGGAGGTTATTTAGGGTTTCCCAGTCAATCTTCCTGAGATATATTGGAATCTTCCCAATAACAAAAACATTATGACGATAATCCTGTTGTAGGAACTTTTGAGTCATAAAAATTGCTTTTATGAAGTGAATGCTCTACATCTGATAATGGCACATAAACATGACTCTTAGTAGAAATTGCAAGCAAGCCCTATTGAATTGTACTAATCTTGAGGACCATCAGTACATTCCAAGGGTGAAATAATAGAAGGCCTGAACAAATGAACCAGAATGATTCTGAGTAGGCTTTTTTGTTTTTGGCCATCTGTTCCAGATGTGGGATTTTCAAAGGTGCTGTATGTTGTTGGCCTAAGCTGGTTTCTTTCTGAGGTTAATGACATCATTGCCTTGTGAGTATTATGACTATTCTCCTTAAATTGAACAGGGGACAAATGAGGTCAAACTAAAATGCTGTTTTACATTTAATGTTTTACATTTTCCATGAGTAATTTTGCACCAACCAGAAGAATAATTTGAATACTTTTTAGTTCAGTTCATCTTGCTATAAAGTAATTAAGGGAAACCATAAGTTAGAAAAAACACCTCGACTACCCTAATTTTTTAAAATAACTCACTCTAGGTCTCTAGAAGTCTGAAAAATTACAATTGCATTTTGACTATTTGTTATGTGGAGCAGTGTAGAAGACTCACACTTCAGGTGTAAAAGTGAGATTGTTGTGTATGGTTCCAGAAGTTTTTTAGAAAATTCTTTAAGGGCCCAGAGATTTAAAAAGTGCCAACAGTAGTAACTGAGTGTTAAAAAAGGGCATCAAAACAAAGAATCCTAAGTTATTTAATGAAGACACAGATGTGCCATTTCATAAGGTTTTTTAAAAAAGATAATTAACCTTTAATAGTTATCCACTGGAATTACGGATTTATGATTCCTCAACACCATTTTTATTTTGAATTTTAAAGTATGCTTTGTATTTAACTGGTTGTATAGATTGTTATGGCTTGAATGAATGATATATTACAACAGGTGTGTATAATTTCAGTGCTTTTGCTTGCTGATTCCATCTTTTGATGATTCCATCAAAACATAAAGGTGTTTACAACACAGCTGCAGAATTACCATCACTGATTATGGATACCGATGGATGGCTGTTGGCATTTTTTTTGCACAAGGAGCGTTTCATGTTCCAGGTCCTGTGACTCTCCCAGAGATTACCTGCATGGTCACGGTTCGAAATCAAGTTGTGATTGGAATAGTATCTTGATTAGAATGAACAAGGCAATGTTTTTATGTTTTAACTAAAGGTTATTTGCTTTTATCACCAGGCCAGTGTTTTATTGTTTTCAATCTTTTGAATTAATCTCTCCGAAGGATGTGTTTTGAGTCTTCACTGGAACTGCCACAATTTGTTTTCAAGTGTGTATGAAAGCCAAAAGATTCTAATCTCAGTTCATTCAAGGAAAAGCTCCTGGTGGTTCCTTGAGGAGAAAACAACAACAATTGTTACATATTGTCAAGTCTCAATACTGGGCTTGAAACTCATTTCTGTGATACCCTATAATTTCCTTCTCTGTCCTTCAGCAAGAATTGTACTGTTCACCCTACTCCTCCCATCCTTTCTGAAACCACTGCTGTCAGTTTGCCTCCAATTTATGGAGGCCCTATGAATGAGTGATCTCCAAAATGTCATGTCCTTAATAGCCCTGCTCGGCATTTGTAAACTCAAGGCTGTGGCTTCTATTAGAGAGTCAATCCATCTCAGAACTGCTGGATGGCTCATTGGCTTAGGTCTCTGGCTGCAGAGCCAGAGGTGGAAGGCTTGATTCCTCTTTTCCTGCTGTCCTCTTTCCCTGCAGCATTATTGTCTTTTCCAGAGAATATTTCCTTTTCATGAAGTGGCCAAAGCATGAAACCCTCAGTTTTATTTTTTTGCTTCCAGACATAGTTCAAGATTGATTTGCTATAGAATCCACTCATTTGTCTTTCTGGAAGTCCAATCCGCAAAGCTTTCCAGCAACACATTTCAAATGAATCAATTTTCTTCTTATTAACCTTCTTCCATGTCCAGCTTTCACACATGTACACAGTGACTGGGAATACAATTCTGTGGATGATCTTGTTCTTGTTCTCCAGTGATACATTCTTACACTTGATTATCTTTTTAAATTCCTCCATTGCTGCCCTTCTGACTCTCATTTTTTCTTCTGAATTATTGGTTGCAGTCTCTATTTGGATTTGTGATTGAGCCAAGGTGTACAAAATCTTTAACAATTTCAGTCTCTTCATTGTCAACATTGAAGTTGTGTAGTTCATTTACAGTGGTGCCTCGCAAGATGGGCGCTCTGTTTAACGACAAATCCACATTACGATGAGGTTTTTGCGATCGCAAAATGATGTTTTGAATGGGGGAAGTTCGCTGCGCGATGATTGGTTCCCTGTTTTGGGAACCAATTTTCGCTTCCCGTCGATCAAAACAGCTGATCGTCGGGATTTCAAAAAGGCCACCTGGTGCTCAAGATCGCTCCCCACTGTGTTTAGGAGCCATTTTTCGCTGCACAGGCACCCGAAAATGGCCGCCCTATGGAGGATCTTTGCTGGACGGTGAGTTCTTAGCCGATTGGAACGCATTAACCAAGTTTTAATGTGTTTCAGTGGCTTTTTTATTTTCGCTTTACAACGTTTTCGTTCTACAGTGATTTTGCTGGAACGAATTAACGTCGTAATGCGAGGCACCACTGTATTTATTTGATCTATATACTGCCCCATTAGTGCCAGAACTACTTTGAGTGGTTTACAAGTTAAACGTAAAACCCTATAAAACCCCACATAATTTGTCTATTCCAAGGTGAAACTTTTGTGATTTGCTGTGCATGTGTGCACATGTGTCTCTTTATCGATTGTCTGTATCTGTGTCTATTGTTTGTATCACCCCTCCCTGTTCCCCCTCTCTCAGGTTGTGTGTGTGTGTGTGTGTGTGTGTGTGTTAGGCTGCCTTGTCAGCAGAATTTGCTCAACCCTATGATTCAGTGTCCATCACTTGGGAAGTGAGAACAGCAATTGGGGTTTGCAGAACCTCTTGCTCATTCATCTGCAGTCTTGGATTAACCACTTATGACCTTTAATCCTTCTCGTATGTGGTTGATGCAAAGCAGAACAGCTCGGCTCTTTTCTGCCATGTGCTGAATGGTGAATTGACTGAAGCTTGACAGTATTTTTATGTCTGCTTCTATCCTTTTGGCAGTGCCCTTTCATTGAACTTTGCCATTTGTTTGCCATGCTATCAGTCCTTAAATTCATTGTGTGTTTTTTTTTAAACATTCCTGTGATTTTTCAACTACTTTTTCCCTTTGCCTACTTATTAAAGATACTGCATACTACTACCTTAACCTTAAAAGGAAGCTTGATTAGCCGCAGGAAAACACAAACCTCAAGGGCAATGTTTTCAATAACCCTCACAAGATTACTGAGGTCCTCTACCTTGCATGCTTCAGTTTAGATCAGGGGTGAGCAATTAATTTCTATTGAGGGGGGGCCATATGAAAAATCTGAACTGTCTTCGGTGGCCGAACCAACTTTACTTAAAAATAAAATGAAACAGTGATGTTATGATTGCTTTTATTTTAAACTTGTTAATCTTCACAAATACTAAAGAGGTTTTTTGCAGTATGTTAAAGATAAGCAACTGATCAACTTTAGACAAAAACCTATAAATGGTTTTGATGTTCAAAACCTTCCACGGGCCGGACAGAAGTGGCTCGTGGGCCGTATGTAGCCCTTGGGCCGCACTTTGCCCAGGTTTGCTTTAGATCCTTCTGTAGAAATGTGCAAAATGCTGTGCTTCATGCAGTTTTCAGATGAAGGCAAGAAGAATTTCCCCCACATCTTTATAACTCTGCAGAATAACTAACCATTGTTATTTTCTGCAGATTGTTGCAAACATTGCCTTTAGACTTTCTGATTCCTGCCAGCCAAATCTTAAATATGCTGAAACATCCATAGTACATTTTTAGATTAGAAATTTTGTAATGTCTGCTCCTGGCTTCGCTGTTAGACTTTATCCTCAGGGTGATGACCTGCCTTGAACTTGAGATTACTTTCAGTACTTTTAATTGCTCCCTTCTGATTCCTTGTCTATTTAACAATTTCAACTTTCATAGTGTTATTTGAGAAGTCATCATAATTTCTGTGCCTTACCTAGATGTTATCCTATCTTTTAATAACTGTATGTCTGTCTACTAATTATTTCCCCTTATATGTCATTCTTAAGTCCAAGGACACCTCAAATGGCATACAGCATGGTTTAGACGATAAAACGTACAGGCTGAAATTCTGTTGCTTAATGTGATGAGTTGCATTAGAGTAAAGGTAAAGGTAAAGGTTCCCCTTGACAATTTTTGTCCAGTCGTGTTCGACTCTAGGGGGCGGTCCTCATCCCCGTTTCCAAGCCATAGAGCCAGCGTTTTGTCCGAAGACCATCTTCCGTGGTCACATGGCCAGTGTGACTTAGACACGGAACGCTGTTACCTTCCCACCAAGGTGGTCCCTATTTATCTACTTGCATTTGCATGCTTTCGAACCGCTAGGTTGGCGGGAGCTGGGACAAGCGATGGGCGCTCACTCCGTCGTGTGGATTCGATCTTACGACTGCTTGGTCTTCTGACTCTGCAGCACAGGCTTCTGCAGTTTAGCCCGCAGCACCACCACATCCTTTGCATTAGAGTAGGCTTACTGAATCAAATGGGTCTGCTCTTTTTGTGACTTACTGTAATAAAGTCACAAGTAGAGTAAGCCCATTTGAATTAATGGAACTTAAGAAGGAGTTGACTGACAAAATCCCCACTGATTCAATGTACTACAGTAGGTAACAAGATTTCAACCATTGAATCATATAACAAACTTAATAATTGCATACCATAAAATTAATTCTGACTGGTGACAACCCTTTTCAGGTTTTTTCTAGATAGAGAGTACTCAGGA